GTGCAATTTACTGCCTCTGAAAACTCGCTGGAGGGTCAGCCGCGAGTAGATTCTGACTCGATGATATTCAACAATAACACCTCTCCTTCTGCTTGAACCAAGCAGAATGGACTTGGCTGTTAACCGAAAAGTTGGACATTTTAGGCCACACAGAGGTGCCTGGGAAGAAAGGCCTGGTGGGGTGGTCCACCCCTGAAAAATGTGAAACTGTATAGAGTTGTCATTGTGGTGTCTGGTCCCCTCCCCCTCCCCCGTGCTGGTTGCTTCAGGCAGACCTCCTCCTGTAAGGGACCACCTGCCCACTGCATGCAGCTGTCAATGCGTGGTCCCCAACAAATAACTTACAACACCGCTGTCTTGTGGTCTGACCTCCTTCCCTAATCAGCCCCAAATGCCTTCCAACTCACTGCCTCAGTTTAGATCCGAGAACCTATGATGGAGTCTGACTCCCTATGCCCGTTGAGGGGAATTGGACAAACGTGCCTCCCTGAGATGCTGAGTCTGCATCTGAGCTAGAGGAGGGCCAGGAACAGCCCCCCACCTGGCAGAGCTGTGAGGATTACAGTACACCAGCCCTCAAACAGTGGCAGCTCAGTGCTTGGCATGCAGTGGATGTTCGAAGCAACGGCTGGTATCTTAGCCACCCTCTTCCAGGCAGGGGGAAAAGCTTATCTTCCTGCCTTCCAATAAGCAAAACCCACACTGTCAGAGTATCGCACACCGGAAATAAAGAACTCATTGAAAATGCTTTTTAAGCGCTGGAAGCTCAGTTTTATTGGGGCGTTCCAGTGGCGGAAGCGCGCGCGGCTCTTGGCAGCCTGTTGGTGCCGCGCACTCGGCCGCTTCTTCTGCCTCTTCCGCTGTCATCGGTGTAGAGGAGAAAGTGTTTCAGCTCCTCCGGGATGAGCAATTCCGTGATCTTATGATGCTGCTTGATCCCAAAGCATTTTCGGATCTTCAGACGGCACAGCTGCATCAACGAGGGCGGCCCTGCAGAAAGATCCCAAGCCAGTTACACATTTGGTGTATCAATCTAAGACGCATTTTCAGCTCCTTTTATGTCAGGGAGCTCTGGTGGCCTACTCCATAGGGAGCTGTGCTGCTAACCCAAAGGCCATGACTCTGATGGTTCAAATCCATCAGCCTCGCCTCAGGAGAAAGATGGGCAATCTCCTCCCATGTACTCTACAGCCTCAAAAACCCAATGGAAGGTGAGCTATGAGTCCCTTGCCACTCAATGGCAATGAGAGTGAATAAGTTTATTGTCATTCTTGTTAAGCATATCAAATCTAATGTTGCGTGTATAATATCTAATGTTTTAAAGGAACTAGGAAGATGCTGCCACTTTCTGGATTTGTTGTTGTTTTTAGCCACATTCTATTTTCTTCCATCTAATTGAAAGTGCACCTGACTCAAGCTTATTTTTTTTAAATGGAACAGTGAATCTGTGTATTCCTTCTTTTTTCTTTTGATGCATCCTGCATCATTTACTATTTTGCCCATAAATTGTTTTCAATAACTCATGGCTTGGCTTTTTAATTGCATTAGGCAAATCTGCTAACAAAGGACCTCATTAAAGTGCTAAGAGCCAGGATATTAGTTAAAAAAAAAAAGAAAGAAAGTGCACCTGACCCAAGCCACTGTGTTTTTCAATTGCTTCTTATATGTGAACAAGTTGGACAGTGAGTAAAGAAGATCAAAGACGAATTGACCCTTTCCAACTGTGGTGGTGGTGGTGACAATATTGAATATACATGAGCCTTTGGAAAAGATTATCATTCTTGGAAAAGTAGACCCTCCGTTAGATAGACTACACAGTGACTGTAGCAGTGGGCTTAGACACAGCTGAGATTGTGAGGAGGGGACATGATCAGACGGGGTTTGGTTCTCTTGTCCGTGGCTCTGCTGGGTTGGAATGGACTTAGCAGCACTGAACAACAGCATTTCATAACACCAACCAGTTGCCACCAAGTCAATTCAAACTCATAAAGGCCCCACATATGTAGAGCTGTGCTCCACAGGGTTCTCAAGGCTTTGAAAACCCTTCTTCTGAGGCATGTCTAGGTAGATTTCAACTGTCACCATTTGGGTTAGAGCATCACTTAAGGAAGTGTGTGTGTGTGTGTGTGTGTGTGTGTGTGTGTGTGTGTGCAATGCAACACACAGACAATAATCAACTGTGTATTTGTTGAATACTGAATGTCCTAAACTTTCCCACACTTGAAGATGCACTTCGGTCATGGGTAGGACTGCAAGTCAGAACTGGGCAAACACCTGCCTCCTACTAGAGCCCATGGGAGTCTTTAACAGGTCAGGGCTTGGGTTCGGGCAAAGGAGAAGCACCTTCTCTCTGCAGGAGCTGGGCAATACTGCTTTCTGGGGCGACCAGCTCCACAGGGCACTTGCCCTCGGCATTCTTCGCATAGATGTCAGCTCCGAAGTCCAAGAGCATGAGAATCAACTCCTTGTTACAGGTCCTGGCCGCCATGTGAAGAGGGGAATCAAGCCCTTTGCCATCATTCACATTTGCCCCTAAGTAGGCAGGACGAGAACAGAAGGGAGTCAGGCAAAGTACAGGGTCCAACCATCCACCCTCTCAAAGTTTTGCCTAAGAGAAAGGGACAACTCTTAATGCTCTGGAGAAAACAGGAGTTTCTTTGACTGCTTTTACTAACATGGGGAAATGCCATTTTACAAAATGACTGAGTACAACCTATAGGGCTAAGAACTCACCGGTGACTGACAGACAGAGTCTGTACTTACAAAAGAGACACTGGTGTCCATCTAACAAGGTGAGTGGTGAGCCCAGGGGAGGAAAAGGCTATAAGATCCATAATAAGAATTCAAGTGAGGGAGAGTTTACTAGAGTCTTGAAGAAACAGAACTCCGCTAATTAAAGAGGTGGTGCTCCATGTGTCAAAGGGGTGAGTGGGCAACAAAAGGGTGGTGAAAAGAAACAGTGTTTTGTAGGTGATTTCAAATAAAATAGAAGCTTCACAATGCGTTTAACACAGGACAAGTTCCATTTCCAAATCAAAGAGAGTTGGTAAAGACAGCTCCAAATAGGAAGACCAGGCCTGTTCCATCAGTTTTGCAAATTATTCAGAGCCTTAAAAATATGGTCAGGAGGAAAGAGAGAGGCCGAAGAAAGGGCGAGGGCCACCCTGAGAGGGAGGTATCACTAGTTACCAGTTTTGCAAATTATTCAGAGCCTTAAAAATATGGTCAGGAGGAAAGAGAGAGGCCGAAGAAAGGGCGAGGGCCACCCTGAGAGGGAGGTATCACTAGTTACCATCACCATCCTCAGCCTCTTGTTAGAAGTGAGAGGACTGAGACTCAAAGAGTTTCAATTCCTCATGAGAACAAAGTCCATTCCTATTGCCCATATGCTTTCCTCTACTATCGCAGCGAGAACTTGAAACATTTAGCCATATTGAAGCATTAAACATTTAGACATTAAACATAGAGCAGAGAGAAAAATGAGAACATTTCATTCCCTTGCCCTTGGTTGGTTGGTGTTTTTGTTTGCTTGCTTGTTTGGAGGTTTTCTGTCTTACCTGATTCCAGAAGCTTCTTGACACAAGCTATCTGCTGGTTTTCACAAGCCACGTACAATGGAGTGCCCAGGTGTCTGATGTTATAATCAATGTTGCCACCATGTGATGCAAGAGTCTCTATACAATCCACATGGCCTGCAGCCCAAGCAACACAAAACAGAGCACAAGTTCCATTGTTATGAAAACACCATCGTCCCTGTTTTATTTATATGTTTGCTTCTTAAATTTTGCCAGCAATTTATCCCAAAGACCAAAAGACCTTCCCTTTACCTCAAACAGGAAATTACTGCAAAACATTGCCACCAGTTAACCGGTTGACAAGTCATGATTTGCACCTATTGAGTGGAACTCACCAGCATTTACTAGCCAATTTTAAACCACCATTGACCAATCCACCCCTTGTCATTTATTTGTGAGATTCTTAGTGAGATACAAAAATTGAATTGCCCACTTGTGTGTCAGGAAGTGTGAGGATGGCACAGGCTAGAAACAGGGTTCAGGTCTTTTGCTCATAGGGTCGTTATGAGTCATATTCGACTAGACGGCACTCAACAACAACATTGGTAAGAACTAGTTGGGGGAAAAACAGCACAGGAGAGGAAGACCCTGCATGAGATGGATTGACTCAGTGAGTGGGATAATGGGAATACGTGTGTCGGAGGCAATGAGATTGGCTCAAGATAGGACAGACTTCAGAGCTGTTGTACAGAGGGTTGCTATGAGTTGGAGGTGACTCAACAATACGTAACAGGAACTATATGAAGTGACCCACATGGGGTGACCAGGAATCGGAGTTGACTCACTGGCAACTATTTAGCTTGGACCTCAAGAAGACAGGGCAGAGCAGGGGCCCCGAAACAGGGACAGAGCCTCACCAAAAGCAGACCTTAAGGGTGACAGCAGGCAAGTGAGGCAGCTACCAAATCCACCATGAACGAGTCCCAGTTGGGCAAACTAGGTCCGTTCAAAGGCACATCACTCTTGCTCCTTTGCACTTCTGTTATTACCCATTTGTATCCAGTAAATGTATGCATTTATATTTTCTATGTAAATATGTATGTATATATTCACTGTGTAAATGTGAGGAACCAGCAAGTCTCTTAATAAAAGACTATGCTTTGGGAGATGATTGCATATACTTGATCTAGTCGTTAGGGCTTCTGGAAGGTGCAGAAGAGGCCTTTTTGTGAAAGCTCTTGTGGAAACCGAAAGCCCTCTGGCCAGATGATGATGATGATGATGATGGTGGTGAACACCAGAGAAAGGAAGGATTGGCAAATGTATTTTTGGCTCAGAGTTCAGAAGATCAGGAAAATTATCGCGTTAATGAAGAAAACTGCCCCGAAGTGTTGTTAGTTGCCGTCGAGGCCATCTTCAGGATGACTGATGGTATGTTTGAGTGCATGGTTGTAGGTATTGTTTATCTCATGGAAAGTTTCTCTTGTTTTCAATGATCCTCTAATTTATCAAATCCCCAACTGTGTCTGACATCTTCCAGCTTCAGAACTTAGAAGCAGCTTCACCTAGCAAACCTGGTGAACCCTGAGACAACCTTCTCACAGTAGAAAATAGTTCATTTTAGAAAAGAACTTGATCTCTCTGGGGCCATAGACTGACAAATAAGGCTGTATAGTCTACTACGTGGTAGGCCCTCTCCCAAGGGAACAGCAGTTTGCCCTACTACTGTGAGGTCCTGAAATGGGGGTTCTCCAGTTCAAGGGGCAGCAAAAGCACACAGATTCTGGGCCTCTCCCCAGAGCTCCTAATTCCATAGTTCCAGAATGAGGTCCAGAAATGGGCATTTACATTTCAGGTCCTGCTGATGCTTCTGGTCCAGAGGCCTCTGAGAACCACTGCCCTAAAATATACCTCATTTACTCTCTTTCTTTCAACAGTAGGATGTCTCTAAAGGAATGGGTGGGAAACTGAAATTACCAGATTTACCTCGTTTAGCAGCTTCATGAATGGGTGAAGCCAGGTCATTTACATTGTCCAGGGTGGCTCCGTGCTGCAGAAGCAAATTTACACATTCCTGGCTGCCACTAACACAAGCATTGAACAAGGGAGTGTGCCAGTTGGTAGTAAAGCCATTCACCTGTGAAGGAAAGTTCTCGAATGAAAGCAGACAGTGGTGTCTTCTGAGTTCGAATCTAGAATGCATTACTTTTGAGCTAGTATTTGACCTCTCTGAGCCTTAAACTCTGCAGCGACAAAATAGGGCAAAAATAATACCCATTCCACAATCATGTGAAATACGGAGCACAGTGCCAATGAAAAGGCACTGAGAATGTTACTGAATGTTCTTTCTCCTCTATGCCTTCTCCAGGAATGGGAACTATAAAATCAGATAGCTTCAGCAGCTTCCTGATTAATCTCTTTCTTCTCAAGCTTCCCTCCCAGATTCCACCCTGCGCCTATCTAGTTTCTTCACAGTTGGCAGAGTAACGTTCTACAATTGTTAAAGTATCGTTCTTAAACGTTAAAAACATGACCTTCAAGATATATCAAGTGGGCACATTTCAAAAGTCCATTTATGAGGGCACCAGTATGATATGATGGTAGCGCCCTGCAGATTCAGTGTTGTGTGGTGAGTGTCAGTCCCAGCAAGGCCGGAATATTGTCTCTAGTTACAAATATATACAAAAGTGGTGACTGTCCTACAGGGCCACAAAACGGTAAGCTCTGAGTTTCCTCTTCCAACTCTACAGGTCAACTTGTACCTTTCCTGTATTTAGGCTACAAGCAAATAGCAACTAGAAAGTTAAATGAATGTCTGTGCTTCTCAGTGTTGAGTAACTGCTCGGTGGACCTGTTTAGCAATGATCTTGCAAAGACATCCATTCAATCACACGTTCTGTTTCCAAACAAGGCTAGGGCCATCTTGAGGCTTGAAAGGTCCCAGGGTGCAATGTCTGGGGGTAATTAGGTGTTCCCTTCTAGTTTGCACCTGAACGCCGGTTTTGTTTCGCCTTCTTTCTGGTCTGCTTTTATGTTTGGGATCAATTTTTCTTAACAAAAAAAAATGTGACTCTAAGTAGGTACTCACCAGTGGCTCTCTGCTGGCCTCAGGACAAGGCCCATTTCGTCCTTTCTGGAGTGGACAGCGGGATGGTTCATGTTCTGAACCAAACCCTCCCACTCTCGCTCTCTCCTGCCATAAGAGCCCTCTTCCTGTCACAGCAGTCCGCTCCCTGGCACCTCCAGGCTTCTGCATTCTTTGTGCCCAGCGGGAGAGAAGCCCATAATTTCCCCTAACCTACCATTCAGCCAAATCCAACAGATCTTTTAGGTTTCAATTTAGACATCAGTTCCTGTAGGAAGTCTCTTTTGACTCCCTCCCTCTGTCAGAAATAAAATAGGTTGGGAAGACACAGCTGTGTAACTTCTTAGTGTTAATACTTATTACATTGTGGTACTTTCCCCCCCCAGAATGGTCACAGCTTCTTCCAAGCCATCTCTGGACTGTGTGAAGGAGCCCTAGTGGCACATTGGGCTGTTAACTGAAAGATCAACAGTTGGGACCTGGCTGTTCCATGGAAGAACAATGTGGCAGTCTGTTCAGTCCAGGGGAGGAGGCAGAGGGGGAAGAAAATGTGCAACTATAAATTTTAAAAAATATCTTTACAGGCTTAAAAAACCCTAAGGACAGTTCTGCTCTGTCCTCTAGGGTTGCTATGGACAGGATTCAACTGGATAGCACTGGGTTTACAGGCCTGGTGCTAAATGGCTTTGCAGCCACTTCCATTCTTACTGCTTGGAGTGAGCCTTGGCCACGTGACTTGCTTTGGCCAGTAGCCTATGTGATCCAAGCTGGCAGCTTGCCCTATCTTGCTGCCTGTGAATAAATTCAGGCTGCCTCTGAGAGTTGAGAGAGCACATGGCAAATGCGCTGACTGACCAGTCATCCCAAGCAGCCCAGCCAAGGCCATCCAAACCTACATGCCCTGGCTGATTCGACTGCAAGTCGATTTCCAGCTCATAGTGACCCTGTAGGACAGGGCAGAACTACAAGAACTAAAAGGCTGTGAATCTGCAGAAGCAGGCTGCCTCAGCTTTCTTCTGTGTAGCAGATGGTAGGTTCAAACCTTATTGGTCAGCAGCTCAGTACTTAACCCGCTTCACCACCAGGGCTCCTAGCTCCTAGCTGATTTACCAGCTAATCTTAAATGCGTATGTAAGCCCTGTTCAGTGAGGTAAGTGTAGGCTGCCTGGAAAAGAAAAAGTGTCCAGCAGAGGCTGAGAATTGTGTGATTAATGACTATCAGTTTAAGCCAATAAATTGTGGTGGCTTGCTAAGTACCAAAAAGTAACGGCTAGAAATACTCTGTAAGTTGGCTTCTATAGCTAAGACGCAGTGCGCTCAGCACACTTGCTTCCTCTAACCCTGGGTACACTACACTTCCCAGCCTCCCTTGCAGTTAGACATGGTCTAAATGAGTTTGGGCCGGTAGAAAATGGGCAAAAGTTAGGTCCATCACTGCCAGGATTGGTCCTTAAAAGCCATCCATGTTCTTGCCCATACCAACTACCTGGAATGGAGATGACTCCTAGGGTAAACCTGGTAGCCACACACTTACACAGGGCCACAGGACAGAAGAAGTCCTTGCCCTCGACTCACCCTGGGAAAAGGACCACTCAACCAGGAACATACACACACTGGAATTCCAACTGAGTACGTATTAAATGCTAATTGGAGTAGGTTATTGTGGTGTGTGTAGTAGGCTCCTGTGTGATGTGCATGGTAGGTTACTGTGCTGAAGGGAGCTCTGGTGACCTAGTGGTATGGAATTACTCTGACAACCCAAAGGTGCGTGGTTTGGGTACATTCAGGTGGTCCACCAGCTGCTTCATGGGAGAAGAATGAACAATCTCCTCCCCTGTGATTAACTGCCTGGGGAAACCTGCTGAAGGGCCAGCTATAGGTCTGTTCCGACTCGACAGTACACAACAATAGCGGTGATGTCAATGAGCTCTGGTGGCCTCGCGGTAAGGAGCTGTGCTGCCAACCAGGAGGCACACAGTTTGCATCCAGCAGCTGATCTGCGGAAGAAAGATGGGCATTCTCTTCCTATGTGATTTACTGCTTCTGAAAACCTGGTGGAGGGTCAGCTAGGGGTCAGCTTTGATTTGACAATATACAGCAACTATGATTCAGGTATCTTATCAGCTGACGTTACAAGCATTGAGTTCAGTGATTTCTCTACCTGCTTCTCTGGCTCTTACCAATTAGAATACAAATGACTGAAAAAGCAGGGACTGTCATATCCTTACGAGCTGTGATGGTGCTGTGGATAAAACACTCGACTGCGAACATAAAAGTCAGTGGTTCAAACCCATCAGTTGCTTCCTGGAAGAAAGACATGGCCATGTGCTTTTATGAAGACTACAAGAAGAAACTGGGCGAGCACAACACTCTTAGAAAAAAATACTGCTGTTTGCATTTCTAATCTGGCTAATGAAAAGTGCTGAGAATTGCAGAAGTAGCCATTTTTCGTTCTCATTTTCTCAGGAGGCAGGTGATCCCACTTACTTGAGCGCCATGCTGTAATAACACGTTGGTACACAAGAAGTGGCCGCCGAGGCAGGCTTCATGCAGTGGTGATGACTGCTCCTCAGTAAGGAGGTTCACTGGCCAGCCCTGGAGGATGGGAAGGGCAGAATCAGGAGGGCAGAGCAGCAGGGCCTGGGGCCTGCCTCCACCCGGATACCATCACTGCGACAGTTCTTCTACAAGTCACAATCACTGGCTCAGATGCTAACAAAACAAAGTGTTACACAAGACAGACATGGGGGCTAGGGGGAAACTAAGAAAAGAAAGGATAAATAATGTACAAAGCATTGAAACAGATGAGGGAGAGAACAGTATAAAAGCAATATATAATCAGGGATTATTGGCATGACAAGAGTCCAGAATAAGAGTTGCATAGTAGAGTGATCTGGGGTGGGGGTGGGGGACTGTATAACAATGAAAGATCTTTCCTCCCCCCAAAGAAAAAAGTGATCTGGGAGGAGGAGGAGCAGGGAGGAAAATGTGCAACAATGAACGATTGGAAATCCAAGTTCTTTATAAACTTTAATTAAAATATCAATTTAAAAAATTTACAACCTAAAAAAAAATGTGAAAAAAAACCTGCCCCACAAGAAACACTCCAGACCAAACTCACTGCCCCTAAGTTGAATCTAACTCATCAGAACTCAAATTCACAATGGAATACTACACAACTTGGGAAGGACTGGAAAACATTATGCTGAGTGAACTATCTCAGTCCCACAAGGATAACTATTGTATACAATCATATTGTAGAATGAGTATAAGAATCCAAGAGGGGTGGAGAGCGTGGAAGCAGAGGGATGAGGATGTGCAGGGGGAGGGGGGATTAGTCATGGGGTTGGACAATTTGATGAGGAGGGTGAGGGAAATTGGAAGAATGTATTCTTGAAAACAATGTATTTGAAGTTTGTAAATAAACAAGTATTAAAAAAATAATTTCCTTTAAAAAAAATCCTCAAACTCACTCACTGCTACCAATTCCAAACTGACTCCTAGCTGACCTACAGGAGAGGAGATTGTCACTCTTTCTCGGAAGGAGCCTCTGGAGAGAGAGGCGTGGCCTTTGGGCAAGCAGCTCAGGCCTCTATGGCCCATGTCACAGAACCCCCTTCTAACCATATTCTAAGGCGTGTTGTCGTGTGCCATCACGTCGGAGCCGACCCACAGCTGACCCTCCCGCTGGTCTTCAGTGGGAGGAGATTGGCCATCCTTCTCCTGTGGAGCAGCTGGTAGAACCAAGCTGCGGCCCTTCGGGATTGCAACGTAGCTTCTTATCACTCTCACCAGGCCACCAAAGCTCCCTAACTCAAAGCCATCCTAAAATAAAGAGTAGAACTGCCCCATAGGAGAACCAAGAAGCAGACCACTTCAACTATCTCTTTCAGAGGGACCCTTGTACATTCAAACTGTCAGCCTTTCAGCCAGCAGCCTAAACGTAATCACTGTTAGCCCAGGGTTCCTTAAAAAGGGTTCGCCTCAAATAGAAGATTTTCCTTTTTTTTTTAGGTGGTTTTTTTTTAAAAGTTTCTTTTATTTTCTATTTTGTTGCAGTTATATTTTGTCATAAATATTTCTTTTGAAAAAAATAGTTTTGATCAGATTCTTTTTTTATTCTCAAAATCAACCAAAACCAAGAAGATAGAAACAAAAGCTTTTATGGATATCCCCTGTCTTGATCCAATTGTAGTTGTTTGACTAGAATTATTTTCTTTTTTTCTACTACTTTTTTAATTTAAAAGTTTATTTTTATTATTATTATTATTAATTTCAATGAACATCTACAGAGATTTTGGAATTCCATTCATTCATTGTTGCCCTTTTCTCCTACTTTTTTTTTTACAGAGACTTTCGATTTCCATTCATTCATTGTTGCACTTATCTCCCTGCCCAGCCCTCTACCCCCAATTCGCTTTTCTTTTTGAAATGTAAAAGAAAAAAATTCTTTCATTGTTATTCAATCCCTCCTCCCAAGTCCACTCCACTATGCAGCCTTTGTTCTGGACTCCCGTCATAACAATAATATATGGTTAAAAAAAAAAGAGTTCGTGAAAATTACATGAGATTCTCATTACACTGAAAGGGAAATGCATGTTTTCGAATCAGACCCCTTGATTTCTGGTTTCTCAGGATGGTGTGTATTGAGATTCTCTTCCTACTTGATGTATCTCAACAACTCTACCTGGCTGAGTAGGTTCCTAAGTGAAAGCAGGTGTCCATGGACTGCAGCTTCATGCAAAGGAGACCAGTCTGTCATGGCATCTGTAAGGAGAAAGGGCGAGGTTACGTTGACCAGTGCACTTTACACTGACCTCATCTGTCCACGTGTCGTACTGTGGGGGCTGTGATGCTAGAAATCCTGCCACCGGCATTTCGAATCTGAGCAGTTACCCATGGTGGAAAGATTTCTGCCAAGCTCCCAGATGAAGACTAGGAAGAAAGACCTGGTGGTCTACTTCTCAAAATTAGTCTGTGAAAACCGTGTGGATTACAAGGAGCCCACCACCCTCAGGGGAGCTGGAAGGAACCTAAAATACAAGAGCATCCATCCAGGGCAATGGACTCCATCATATAATCAACAGCCACCAAGACGGTGCAAGACAGAGGAAGCAGTGTCTCCTTCTGTTGCATGTGGGGTTACGGTGAATCAGCACAGTTCAAGGGCACCTAACAATGACACACTTCAGAAGCCGGGGGCTTATCTTTGCCCGCCGACACTGAAGGCTAACAGGTTCTGGCTGAAAATATTGTGGTCACGCAAATCCCGTGAAGACGTCAGCATTTCTCCCTCTGAGTGTTTCTTATACACAGACAAACCAGCCAGGGAGGACTCGAACCAGGTCTCAAAATGGGGACAAAGGAGATGACAGATCGCTGTGCTTCCATCGGCACACTGATTTCAAAGACAAATGGTCCATTTTGTTAAGTGAGGCCTTAGCTAATTACCAGCATTAGTGTGTTAAGCCATGGTTACTAGCCTAGTTTCCTGCATAAAATACACACTTTGGCATCTCAGCAAACAGTACCATGTATTAATGGTTGGAATCACTTACGCAATTACATACACCATTAGGTTTGGAATCAAACTTAAGCAGAACCAAATCTATTTATGGATTACCTCCAGCCCCAGTAGTGAATACAAACCAGAGTGCAGTGTGACCTTGGGACAAACATTATTTACCCTCAAAGGCAATGAGCTCATATGGGGACGAGAAAGCTCTGAATTCAAACCCACTTGACTTCTGAGCCTCAGTTTCCTTGTCTGTAAAGAGTGAACAGCAATACACTTACCCAGTCCTCCATGGTGGTGTGACTTCAGTTAAGCTGCTAACTAAAAGGTCGACAATTCATACCCACCTCACAACTCTTCAGGAGAAAGACCTGGTGTTCTGCTCTTATAAAGGTCACTGCCTGGGAGATGCTGTGGGCCAGTTCTACTCTGTCACTTGGGGTCCTGTGAGTCATCGACTCGATGCAACTAAGAACAACATGAATCAGTACGTAGAAAACCAGTTATTATCAAGTCTGCTTTGACACATGGTGACTCCATGTGTGTCCGAGTTGAGCTGTGTTCCATAGATTTCAACGACCAACTTTTTTTTTTTTTTCAGATTGCCAGGCCTTTCTTCCAGGGTGTTTTTGTTTGGACTCAAACTTCCACCCTCTTTCTTTAGGGAACATCACTCAGGGACTTCCAGTATATATTGTGGTTAGGTGCCATTGAATCAGCTCCAACTCCTGGAGACAGCATAAGGCAACACTGCCTTCTGCCACCTTAACATGAACCAGAGGGTCTTCATTTCATGCTATTTGCACAGCTATTTAAAATAGCAACCAAGTAGAAAGACTACAAGATCTTAAAAAGATAGACTATAAACCCAACCCCAACACATGAAATACTATTCTGGCCCTTTTTTAGTGTGGGTGTGGCCTGAGTGAGATGGAGACCTGAATTTTCTTCCCCTTAAGCTGAATTTGACTTCCAGAACAAACTCTCAGGAGGTCAAAATATGTGCGGCCCACTGGGAGGTGTGTGGTTTGGTAAACGCCAAAGCAAGGCAGGCATCTCCTAAAAGCAGAGAAGACCTGAGAATCAATGAAGCTGCTATCCAATCTGAATCAGGAGCTGTGGGCTTGGTTTCGACGCACGGCACCCCCAGGCGTGTCAGAGAAAAACTGTGCTCCATAGTTTTCATGGCTGATTTTTCAGAAACAGATAGTCAAACCTTTCTGCAAAGGTACCTCTGGGCCGACTCAAACATGTGACTTTCCCATTAGTGGTAGAACGCCTTAACCGTCTGTGCCACTCCAGGGTACTTTTTCATGTGTTGTGGTTTTTGTTTTGTTTTGTTTTTTTAAAAAGGCTGGTTATTATTTACTTAAAAGAACTTTGGTACCACAGTGGTTAAGTGTCTGGCTGGTAAAAGAAACATGGCAGTTCAGATTCAACTAACACTCCAGAAAAGACCTTGCCATCTGCACCATAAAGATAACAGCCTTGGAAACTCTGTAGCGCAGGCAGTTCTACTGTGCCTTAAGGGAGGGAGGGCACGCATCAGTGACATTTAGCTCCTGGGAACTGACAAGCCAGGGAGGAGGAGGGAAGAATACTGAGGTCTGCTGCCCCTTGGGGTCATCAAGTCCCTGGAAAATCCACACCACTCCCTCCCTTCCAGCTGGACTCATTAACACAAGAGGATGCAAATGTGAGGCCTAGGCACTGGCATCCAGGACTTGCCTTCTGGGCTCCCAGAGGGTTGGGGCCATTTATGTACCAAGGCTTTTCCTGCCTTCAGAACTGAAGCAAAATTTCCTCTGGGTGTCCTAAGTCTCTTCGGAGAAATACTGTTGTTTTTAGGATTCAGGATCTAAACTCCTGACTCAAAAAGCAAACTAAAACTCACTGCTGTCGAGGAAGAAGGGCCCATGGCAGCCCCTCCATCGGGTTTTCAAGGCTGTAAATCACATGGGAGGAGATTGCCCAACTTTCTCCCACGGAGGTGCCAGTGGATTCAAACTGCCATCGGGTTACCAAAGCAACTCTATAGGCTAGGCCACCAGTACAGCTATAGCTCCAAATGAGGATGAAAAAAATCCACACATTTCAGCCTGTCGGTGCTGATAATGCCAGATACCATCCACACAAAATCTCAAGAAAAAAGAAAAAGGCTAAAATGGGGGACGGTTTAAAAAATGAGCTTTAAATAGCTTTGCAAGTGTGTCCTAATGGATCCCTGCACATCTAATGGTGGTCAATCCGTTTCTCCTGCAAATGACATAGAGCTAGCTGCCACACCTCTTCACCCTCCCCTCAAGCTCCCCAAGATAATTAGAGCTGACAGCCTCAACAGTCTAGGCAGGGGATTTGGGTCCTTAAGTCAGAACCCCAGCCAGCTTTCATCAAAATGATGCAATTATATTATTAAGCTCAGACACAAAAGGGGGTTGGCTTTCCACTCCTTCATTATGGAGTCATCACTTCAGAGTAAATCAAGAATTCTGTCATTCTCCCACAGAAGCACTAAGGCACCCCAAGGTTGTACACCCTAACAATAGAAGGCAGCACGGATTGGATAGTATGCTGGGCTGATGGGCACGGTGGCCAGGGGTCTGTAGCTATGCAAATATAGTGGAACCTGCAAGAACCAGACGCTGTGCAATGCGGAAACCTGACAGAGAAGGAAAACAAAGTATTTTCTACAAAAAGGAAGGAGAGGAAACTGTTAAAGGTAGAAAATGGAAAGACCTGGCAAAGCAAGGCAGTCCTGTCAAGTCTGGATCTCAGGCTTCACTGCATTTCCGTATCATTCACTCACGCAGAGCCACCCTTCATCAGGTTTTAGGAGGGTAAATCTCATCTGAGGAAATAGTCCATCTTTCTCCAGTGGAGCCTCTGGTGAATTTGACCTGTCAGAGAAATGCTACCTTTGGGTTAACAGTGCAACTTGCTGTAGATTATGCCACTAGAACAACCTCCCCACTCTTTGTGTGTGTGTGTGTGTGTGTGTGTGTAGTGGCCTAGTGGTAAAAAGAAGCTATGTTGCAATCAAAAAGGCACACAGTTAAAATCCACCAGCTGCTCCACAGTATATAGAGAGACAGAGATAGATAGATAGATAGATAGATAGATAGATAGATGATAGATAACAGGTAGAAAGATAGATAGATAGATAGATAATAGAAAGATAGATAGATCATAGATGAGAGATAATAGAAAGAAAAAGATACATAGATGATAGATAATAGAAAGATAGATAATTGATAGATGATAGATATAGATAGAAAGAAAAAGATAAGACATGACAGATAGATATAGATAAAAGATAAATAAATAATAGAAGGAAAGAGAGATGATAGATAATAGAGAGAAATAGACAATAGACAGAAGATAGATCATAGATGATAGAAAGCTAGATAATAGATGGAAAGATGATAGATAATAGAGAAATAGAAAGATGATAGATAGATAGATAGATAGATAGATAGATAGATAGATAGATAGATAGATAGATAGATGATAGAAAGATAGATGCTAGAAAGGTAGATAATAGATGGAAAGGTGATAGATAGATTGATAATGGATAAAAGAGATTAGATAGATAGATAGATAATAGCTAAAAGAGAGAGATGTTAGAAAGGTAGATAATAGAAAGATGATAGATAGATAGATAGATAATAGGGAGATAGATAGGTAATAGATGATAGATAATAGAAAGATTGACAGATAATAGATAGATGATAGATAATAGAAATATAGATAATAGATCAGATAAATAAATACATAGATGATTGATAACAGAAAGATAGATAGATGATAGATAATAGAAAGATAGATGATAGATAGATAATAGAAAGATATGATAGAGATACTAGAAAGATAGATTAGATAGATAATAGATGATAGAAAGAGATACATAGATAATAGAAAGATAGATAATAGAAAGATATGATAAAGATGATAGATAGATCTAGATCTGGTGGCCTCGTGGCAAGAAGCTGCGCTGCAGTAAAAAAGGCACTCAGTTCAAATCCACCAGCTGCTCCACAGTATATAGAGATATAGATAGATAGATAGATAATAGATGATAGAGATGCAGATGGAGATAGAGATAGATATGTATATATAGACAGAGGAGGAGAGAGAGAGAAGAGAGGAGAGAGAGAGAGAAGGGAAAGGGGAGAGAGAAGAGAAGGGAGAGGGGAGAAGAGAAAAGAAGGGAGGGAGAGAAAGGGGAGGGAGAGAGCAGGGAGAGAGGGGAGGGAGGGGAGGAAGAGAAGAGAAGAGAAGAGAAGAGAAGAG